AGAGCACACATGGCAGGGTGTAATGACCACACGTAGGACGCCAGTACACTTCATTCATTGTCGCAGCACCAAAGTTGATGTGGTGGCCACAGAGGGTTGGGGTGCTGTGCGTGCGGCGTAAAAAAGCAAATATCGGCCTCAATTTGGTGCACTCTAAAGTCAAGCCTATAATGTCACTCGCCGACGGCATCCTACGAGGATATCGATAACCTGATGTTGTCATCGTTCGTGTTCTTTGGATTTCTTCCGCGTTGTTGTTTTTTACAGCTCGTTTACTTCTAGGCTGTCATTGTGGAAATAGTTCGTTTTTTTTGCGGTCTCGAAGCTTCTTCACGTCACGCTTGGTTCTTCATGTATCTCGTACTCGAAAGTGTGACTGTGAGCAGTTGCGGCTTCCCGTGACAAAACAAGGAACGCCTCAGACAGGCAACGCCGACGAAACTCGCCGACGAACCTCGTCGATTTGCTCTATCAATGAGAGGAGCGTTTTCTACTTACTCCAGTAGTGCTGACTGTTGGCCAGGTTGTCCGAAAAAAAACATGTCCCGCACACCGACGTCTGTCTGCTGTAGACCCAGGGCGGGCCAAATTTATTTAACCAACACATTTATTTACCCCAGTTCCTCTCTGTTTAGTTGTGGCCATTGGCATGATAGGGTAGGGCGAACGTCAAGCCTGCAATTGCCAAAAACCTGTTGTGACTTGCAACACGATGAGACACGGTCACAAGTTACTCGCAAAACGCGTTGTTGTTGTTGTTGGAGAAACCACACACGCGCCGATCATCCACATCATCCACACTTCATCCTATGTATGCTTACTGTAGAACCAAATGTTAGTGACACAAAGAGCCCGGGGTAGCGTCACGCTTCTTCGGCATGAACGAAAACACCCCGTACTCGACTGAAACCGCGGAACGTATGTGCTTCATGTAAGGGCTGGCAACTCTGCCGAGTGCGCCGTTCGCCGACATATTCATACTCCATCCAGTCCTCTTATTACGCAAACTTATTCTGCAAACGCCAACCCCCAAAACGCCTTTCGTTTCGGGGTGCATTATTTACGTCACCGCGTGAGTTTACGTCCGGCCCCTCTTCCTCCAGAGGCCGATCACCTCAGGCGAGCGGACTTCTTTGGCGAGCTCCACTACTGTAGTGGCCCGGCATCACGTCTGCCACAAAGTTCGCTCGCCTATGGAACGAGCGTCGGATTCGTTGCCAGATATCTGGGGAGAGGTCGCCGGGGGGCGGCGAACTGGCCGATCCGGGCGGGCTGACGCCCTTTTCCCGTGAGAGAGGGTGGGGAGTCGAAGCATAGTCTACGAAATGAAGCCCGAATGTAAGTGTGAATATCTGTGCCATCTGCTACAGCACCAAAACGTGACTGCAGAGTTACACAAGGCACTCAAACTCAAGCCAATCATGACCGCAAGAAAAATACCGACGCAGACAACCAGCCGGTGGCAGGCGCGTTCACCCGCGGGTTGGCACAAAACTCCATGACAATCACACGCTGCGGCTGATCCAGCTCTTCGAGCCGCAAGTGGAGCACGGGCCCCTGTTCGGAGGAGGGCAAGCGTTTCTTTCGTTTCCATCCTTCCGTAGCTACAGCACCGAGGGCTTGAAGGCGTTTCGCCCAACAAGTCCGACTGGAGAGACGTCGACCTGGAGTGCTGCAGCGACAAAGTGTGGAACCTCGTGGAAGAGTACATGCTCCAACCTTGCGGTCGCAGGCGGTGCGTCAGTTGAGAAGTGCACCGAGAGGGAGATAAGTCATTCCCCAACTGACAGAGAGACAGACACCTTCCTCGCCGTGAGCAACCAACCGTGTGAGGTAGAACCAATCGTGCCTTCCTTCGAAATTTGAACTTGGACCGTTCGTTCGAGTTTGTTGCTTTCACCCTCGTGACATACTAACGCCCGGACGAGGGGATTGACACAGCACGCAACCCCAAAAGACGGATGCAGACGGATGCACTCTACCACTCGTCGTTAGGAAGCGAGGCGCAACGAAATCAAAGATGACTCTAGGGAGTAAAAAAGAACGGCATTACCATCAAGCGAGGGACATGCCATGCATCCGTTTCCAAAAACCCTCAAGCCTTCGGGGCACGGTCACTCGAAAGCAGGCGGCCCTTTCAAGCGTGTGCCCGTAAACTGTTTGAGTAGACCGCACCATCGCCACCCACTCACATGTGCGTGCCCACATACGCGACTTACCTAAAAACTTCGAACTGTTGATTAGATTTAGCGGCGATTTCTCAGAGAGCGATCTCTTCCACGGGAGGCAGGCAACTAGAAATCACAACGGCTACTATGTAAAACACATGAATCGGGCACACACTCAGCTACGACATGAGCCCGCTATCGCCATCCACTCCGCCCACAAGCTACCGGCGATGGTTCGGAGGGAATGTTCTTTAAACTCAGCAAGGGCACGTCCAGCTGTATTGTAGCATCACACAACAAACATGTGAAAACACAAAGAGCGTGCACAGGAACACGCTTGCCACTTTCCCAACGCCTTCAACCCACATGCGAAAAACAAGCGAAGCGTATGCATGCTGTTTCAGTCCCTCTTCCGCGGGCAAGGTCCCGAAGACCTCCCTTCCTCGGTGCAACCATGTTCCACATGAGGGCGCGGCGCCCGCCTGCGCCAAACCGATCACCCGCAAAAAAGGCGACTGCGACAACATCAGAAAAAAGCAGGAGACTACTTAAATAAAACAACAAATAAAACAAAGGCAGCACAACACACTGCTGTACCCCAATATTCATTTTTCGCACCAGCCTCCCTCCAACAGATCCAAGAGGCGCATATACAATCGGCATATGAAGTTTGAGTCCAGCGGGAGCCACACCCTCGCATAGTAACGGGGAAACAAAAGGAAGCTTTTCCATCGAGAGTCCCACACGCAGCTGGGGAACTCGTCTTTCTCTTCCTCTCGGCATACACACACGGGGGTGGGGTACGTGGCCAAAATAACGGAATACAATCCTAAGCCGTGCTTCATTGCCGCGCAGAAAAAACAAAAAAGTGCGATACTTTTCCAAACGGACGTGCGATTATTTTCCTCGTGCTTCGTTCTCTTCGTCGCACGACGTCTCGCTGCGAGTTGTCTCGAAGAAGAAAGGGGGTTGCTGCCTTTCGCTCTGACTATTGCTACTTAGACGAAAATACCACTTTGTTCGGAAATAAAAGGACCATTCGGATAACAGATACCATTTTGTCCCAATGGTCACGACAAGTGGAATATTGATCTACGTCACGCCTCTGTCGCCTCTGGCACGATACAAGCCTTGAAGCTCTCGGTGATGTAGTCCTTGTCCAGGTCGAGACCGATGAAGACTGGACAGACGAGGGACCAAACCGATGAGAAAAGAAGCGGTTATTAGTCAATTGTACGATGTGAAACGACGCCAAGGAACAGCAGGTAGCAAGAGAGTATATCATGACAGCCCCCACGTGCAAGACCAGCAACAGCACTTGCAGCTTGGCAGAAAACAGGGACACGAATCAAACGGGGGAGGCACATTCGTGCCAAGAGAGAGACATGTGGCACGGGGGAGAACGATCAGCTACACAAACGTACTAGTGAATCAGGAGAGGGTTGAACCCTTCTTGTTGTGCTCGCTCCCCTGCGGGGCCCCCGACAACGGGGGCCCGCGGACAAGGAAGCAATGCTCTTCCCCACCAAGTCATTCGTTACATTGATCAGGCAGTTAGAGCGGCCGACGCGAGTCAGACAACTGCACACTTGGCAGCCGATTGCTTCAAACACAAACCCGGAAAGGGCCGCGAATCAAATATCAAATACATCCCTTCTTTATTCTTACCTATCTTGCTCACGCGCTCTTCGCCCTCGGCCCACCCGTTAATCGCCGGCTCGCAGTCAATCTGCTCGTGCACTCCCTGCATCGCTCGACCGTGAATTGTTCCGTACGAAACGAGGCGGTGTCGGCAGCAGGCAGCAAGTATATACAAACATCATGGAATATCTAGTAGAGGAAGGAGTGTCTACGTACGGGCAATTCCATGTGTTCCTTTCCGCCAAAAGATCCGGGTCACAGCGGCGGCGTGAGGAGGAAGGGGAGATGGATCCTCTGACGCTTGCGTGCACACACAACGATACAACACACCATAGCAGACAAGAGAAACAGCCACATTGGATGCGACCACGACAAACGACAACACCACCGAAGAAAAAAAAATGAATTTCAACATTACACAGCTCACGTACCTGGAACACAAACTTCCGCTCCTGGTCCTTGAACGCCAGCACACCCTTCGATCGGAACAGATTGGCACTGTTCTCCCGGAGGAATTCCGCCATGAACTTGTTGAACATGTCGACATCGAGGTTCCCGCTGAGGGTAAGTCCCAGAGACCCGACCTATTTTTATCACGCAGTCACATTTGGCGCCCCAAAAGATCCGACATGGCAACGACGCGTGTCAACACAACACGAACGGCGGCCGCGTTTTCTCCGAGACTAAGTGTTCGTTCATTATTTTATTGTGTTTTTCTCTCTCACTTTACGTTACTCCGGGGCGCACGACCCCACCACGAAAGTTTCGGAAGTTCAATGGGATCATTGAAACAACAAGAACAAGGGCCAACAGAACCGCCTGAACAAGTTCCAAAAACGGGGAAGAGAACGGGCAGTCGAGGGCATTGAACTGTCAGGTGCCTTGTTGATGGAACGCGCTAGAACGCAGATGAGACGATGTCCATCGAGACACGTCGGATAGAATCTTCCCTCACCAGAGGTCAACATCGTCATCACCTCTGAGCTTGGCGGCAACCATTTCGGAGCTCGTACATAGTCTTTCGTCCAACACGCAGCGCTCTCTCAAGCGTGATGGAACAAGACATGCTGCCGCGTGCTCGACGGCTCACTTTTATCCCCCCCCCTCACGGGGTTTGGGTTTTCGTCGCTTGGCAACGACGTTCTAAAACAAGCCGCACCCCCCCGGTGTTTGCCATCGGGGTTGGGTTTTCGTCGCTTGGCAACGACGTTGTAAAACAAGCCCCCCCCTCGGTGTTTGCCATCGGGATTGGGTTTTCGTCGCTTGGCAACGACGTTGTAAAACAAGCCAATTCACTTCGTGAACTCGGCAACCAGGTTACCGTTTTTTTTTCCTCGTTTTCTTTTTTGGCGGTAACCATAATGGTGGTCGAGTAGATCATGTTGTGCGGGGTGGAGAACTCTCACTCCGCGCAAGGGGAATGATCGCACCACGTTGTGTTAAAATGGTCAAGCTTCCTCGAGGCAGTTACACAGTGCTTACAACTGTCTCTGGAAGTGAAAGCACCAGAAAATAAATTAAGTAATACGTAGCTGTCATCCGTACGCAAGGAAGTAAGCACAAGATGCCGAACACCCTTAGCAGGATGCAGCTCACCCTTCATGCGACTCGCCAAATACCTCACGGCGCTTCGCGCTTGGTGATGTGAGAGCCTGGTCCGGTGAGAACCCGGCGTGCTCCGTCCCGGCTTTGTAGGGATGCGAGGTCAATGGTCTAACGACTACGGCATGCACGACTATGAGTACACCCCCCCCCCC